ACATTTTTTGTATAAAAAAAAATGTTTTTTTAGGTTTTTATGTTAAAATCGCTACGAAAACTAAGGGTTTGGAAGGATTTCGTCTTGCGCGCGCGAATGTCCACTTTACCTTATTTTTGCAAGGGATTCTTGAAGTTTGGTTATGTTAGAACAAGAAATGTCATTTTATATTGTTTTTTGCACGGGAAAGCGGGGGGGAACAAAACAACCGGATCTGGATCACATCGTTTTACCTGAGACTTCCTCACGAAAATGATGAAAATGTGGCTGCGGCCTAGGCGCGGCGAGGGGGCCGTGCACCAGGGGCCCCAACAATAATTATTCTTTAGAAGTAATAATGTTCAACAGCAACAGCAACCACAACAACAACAACAACAACAACAACAATCATTTTACCCGAACGCGTGGTGTTCTCCCCAGTGCCAGGGTTTTCATACGACACCAGGCAATACCCCCACTTCGTGGGGGGGCATTACAAGCTCTACCAAATATCCAAACGACTCTTCGCGACCACCCAAACCCAGCTTCCCGCCCTATGACGTTGGGACACTTCACTTCGTGGCGTGCGGACGACCGTGGCTACTACACTGGCGTGGGGTACACACCCACAGAACTTGGTCACTTATTCGGGGCGCGCATGTGCCCAGCATGGTGCAATTGTGCCATACAATACATAATACAGAGAGACGAATGTGTCCCGCATGGTATTATTTGACAGGGATGATGGCCCTGGCAGGTGCGCAACCGTTGTCGCAGAAGTTCGAAAAAGTTGCTCGCAAAAGCCCGTTTGACAGAAATGTTTAAAAAGTGTTGGGTTTCCTACGAATCCGCAAGAGCGCGCGGGATGAGATTTTGACATTTTTTTGTTGAAAAACCATTGGTTTTTTGATGTTTTTATGTTAAAATCGCTCCGAACACTAAGCTTTTGGAAGGATTTCGTCTTGCGCGCGCGAATGTCCACTTTACCTTATTTTTTGCAAGGGATTCTTGAAATTTGATTATATTAGAACAAGAAATGTCATTTTATAGTGTTTTTTGCAAGGGAAAGCGGATTACAACAAAACAACCGGATCTTGATCAACTCGAATTACCTGAGGCTTCCTCACGAAAATGATGAAAACGTGGCTGCGGCCTAGGCGCGGCGGGGGGGGCGCGCACCAGGGGGCCCAACAATAATTATTCTTTAGAATTAATAATGTTCAACAACAACAACAATTACTAGCACGTGGGGACACTCCGTTCTCACCAGTGCCAGGGTTTTCATACGAGGCGGCAATACCCCCACTTTGTGGGGGGGCCGGTTCAAGCTCTACCACATTTCCAAACGACTCTTCGCCACCACCCACACCCAGCTTCCCGCCCTATGACGTTCGGACACTTCACTTCGTGGCCTGCGGACGACCGTGGCTACTACACTGGCGCATGGGTACAGTGACTTGTTGTGGTAACATTTTCTGGACGCTAGCTTAGTATACGACTTTTCCCCCTGTTCCAACACTGGACACCTGTACTGGTTTTTGGTGGTAACGTGTTCCAACCCAAAGAACATGACCCATCCAAGACCCAGGCGATACCTTGATCCGAGATGGCTACGGATGTGACAGTGATCAGTGATTTTGTTCGATGACGTGGTGACACACGGACTTGTTGTGGTAACATGCCGACGACGACGACGACGACGACGACGCGACACGCGCGCATGTGTCCCGCATGGTATGTTTTGCAAGGGATTGTGGCCCCTGGCAGGCGCGCGAACGCCGTTGAAAGAGCTTGCGAAAGTAGC